AGATTGGGGTGATTAAACTTGATATCCTAAATTTGATTTTCATAGGAAACTGAAATTGCACTGTACCCTTACAGCAGTTCTAGTTAACAAGTACCCGAGGCTTAGAGAAACTAGTTCTTCCATAGCCAGTAACATTGGGGTCGCACTACATTTGATGAATAATTCTTCCCAGTGGCACTCACACCTGATATGCACATTGTGTGGTTAAGAGAGTTTTCGGACAAACAGAAGAAAAACATCATTTTCTACCACCAGTTGCTCATGTGACAGGTATATCACCTAATGAAAAGATTTCTCTGAGGAAGGTGAAATGTAGTTAGTGTTTTCACCATATAATTATTCTGACATGATCTTCAAGATAACTGAGAAGAAATGAACCTGATTACATTTTTTTCTTATGTCCTGACGATACTTTCCATTAGCGTATTGAATAGGGCCCCCATCTCCCAGACAACACTTTGATGTAGATGAATATCAAAAGTGGAATAGGGATGATCTTAGCAATTAAGCCCCATGGCTCATGTCTGTAATCTCAGCACTATGGGAGGCTTAGGCAGAAGGATAAGTTGAGCCCGGGAGTTCAAGACCAGCCTGGGAAAAATGGTAAGATCTATCTCTACAAAAATAAAAATAAAAATATTAGTGGGCCGTGGTGGCACAGGCCTGTAGTCCCAGCTACTTGGGAGGCTGAGGTGGGAGGATCACTTAAGCCCAGGAAATCAAGGGTGCAGTGAGCCATGATCAGCCACTGTACTCCAGCCTCGGTGACAGAGCGAGACCCTGTCTCAAAAATAAATGAATAAATAAAGGTGCATGGTATAAACATATTTACATTATATCATATAAGGAATAAAGCATATATGAAAATATACTTAATTATATATATACACTTTATCTTAAAATATACCATCAAATTTCTATATCTGAAATTGAAGTCTAGCTGGCATACTATAAATGCATTTAGTTATGCAGCTTTCATTAATTTCAGTGAGAAACAGGCTCCCAATTTTTATTAATACTTGAAATTTTAAAAGCGTATCTATCTATCTATCTATCTATCTATCTATCTATCTATCTGAGAAGGGGTCTTACTCTGTCACTCAGGATGGAGTGCAGTGGCATGATCATAGCTCACTGCAGCCTTGAACTCCTGTGCTCAAGAGATCCTCCTGCTGTAGCCTCCCAAATAGCTGGGACTACTGGCATGCGCCACCATGCCTGGTTAATTTTTTAATTATTTTTTTGTAGAGACAGAGTTTCACCATGTTGCCTAGGCTGTAAAGTTTACCTTTTAAACCCATGACTTTACATGTCAGATACATGGATGATGACCAGGACAAACTGTGTTGCAGAGTGGATCCACAGGGACCTACACACTGACTGTCCCACATGGCTGCTGGACAGGAAAGGAAAATGCATTCTGCCACAGAGTGCGAGCTTCTGGCTCCAAAAGCTAGAGTCTTCTATAGTCCACAAACCTAACTCCCCAGGACAATATATTCATGTTGGTTAATTTTACGTCAGCTTGACTGGGACACAGAGTGCTCAGATATTTAATCAAACCTTACTCTGGGTGTTTCCAAATGAGTTTAACATTTAAAATGATAGATCTAGTAGGGCAGGTTGCCCTCTCTAATGTGCATGGGGCACACGCATGAACAGAACAAAAAAAACCATGCCTCCCCCAAAGAAGAGGGAATTCTTCCTGTTTGACTGCTTTCAAGCTTAGGTAATAGTCTTTTTCCTGCCTTTGGACTCCAACTGAACATCATCCTATCTTCCTGGGTCTCGGGCCTGATTACAGGTCTTGAGACTTCTCAGCCTCCGTAATCACAGATTCAATTCCTTATCTGTTTCTGTAAGTATTTCTCCTATTGGTTCTGCTTCTCTGCCTAACAATTATTATAAGGGGGAAAAAACGTACCCGATAGAGTCAGCAAGAGTGAGCTAAGGAAGCCTCATTCATCACCAAGGTAAGAGAGGAAAGAGGCCACAGCAGCTAACAACGGTGACACTGTTAGAAAGTACATGGAACTTGAAACACAACATGACTGAATTATAGCTACTTGGTGTAGGGAGCCTGGAACAGGGAACCAAGAAGGCAAGCGATTGAGATATGGTAGTGGGGAGCATTGCAGGAGGAAAAGTCAGATGAAACAGAGAAGGCCAGCTCAAGATGATTTTTTTCCCCTGAAGAAGTTATTAGGTCAGTGGCAGCGGCTCACACCTGTAATCCCAGCACTTTGGGATGCCGGGGCGGGAGGATCACTTGAGCCCACAAGTTTGGGACCAGCCTGGGCAACACAGTTGGATACTGTCTCTACAAAAAATAAAAACATTAGCCAGGCATGGTGGCACACGGCTGTGGTCCCAGCTACTCAAGAGGCTGAGGCAAGATGATCACTGGAGCCCAGGAGCTTGAGGCTGCAGTGGGCTGCAATCACACCACTGCACTCCAACTTAGGTGACAAAATGAGGCCCTGTCTCAAAAAAGAAAAAAAAAAAAGACATGACTATTCACCCACATTTAGAAGGATGCGTCCCTTCGAATCTAAGTGAACTTATGCCACTCTATGCTACCTGCCCGCTCCGGGGCAATAGCTGTGACCACATGGGCATACACAACTGCTGCTAAGCCTCAAATCCTTACCCAAAATGCTCAGTGACAGCTAACCAAGCTGTAAAGAATTTTGCTTTTCCATTCTCGTTGATTTAAATGGCATGTGCTCCAGAAAAATCTTCTACAGTTTAGCTCCTATGTTCTCCTCACAACACTCAAGTGTACTTAAAATCATATTTGTTCTGATTCACAGAAGGAGGAAATGGAAGATGTCAAAGGAACGACTTCTGGGATTTCAAATGTTACAGGATCACAGACGTTCTTTTCCAATGTAAAGATATTCCAGGAACGTTTCAAACTAGCGTGGTGTGTATATGCTTGTGATGTACATGAGAATCTAGGGTTCATTAATTCCTATCATGGTTAAAGACCTAACTGTTTTACCTATTTAACTGTGCTCAGGTTTTAAAATTAGTGCTCAGAAGTATTTCACTCCACCAGCACAGTGTTCCTCACCAGAAAGTCTTCTGTCTTTCGCCAGCTCAGTATTCACAGTCTTCACAAGAGAAGGCTAATTCTGAAACAAGTATGTAGCCAGCACAGTCTACCAATGGCTTTTCATGCCTTTCTTGTCCCGGCATATCCCTTCTCCTACTGCTTTAAATGTCCCTTCTTCCCCAGGGTTAAGAGTGAAAGTTCTAGAGATGGATTACATGTAATCAAATAGTGTTTCTGACCCTTCTTCGTTAGGTGTGACCTTGGGACAGTTATTCACCACTTTATGCCCCAGTTTCCTCAACAGCAAAATGTGAAAAAATTATAGTACCTAGTGTGTAGGCTTGTGAGGATGAACTGAGTTCATTGGTCAAGTTCTTGGAGCAGTACCTGGCACATGGTAAATGTCAGTAAGTGTTACTCATTGTTCCAGCCCCAACAGGTAGTAAACTGCTTAAAGTTCAGGTATAGAACTACATGGGTTCCAGACCTGCGTCAACTGTAGAGAAAGCATCCATTTACCAGCCTACCTTCCACGAAGACTGAGTAAGGATTCCATCTTCTTTGTCTTTATGTTTCCCAGCACCTAGTGTGGTAAGTGACACTACAGTAGGTATGCAGTCAATGTAGATTGAGTGCTTCAAGGGATCACTAATTCTAACAAGGACAGTATGTCACCTAAGAAATGCTGTTTATGAACAACAATGGCAATGCAGTATAGGGAAGCTCCAGCTAACACCCTGGTAAGAAACACAATTCACTATTCTGGGATTTTTAATTTATTTACATTACTTTGCATTAAAATCTTTCAAATAAGGTCACTTTTGTTTACTTGTTTGTCATTCTTAACAGCATAGAGGTAAGTAAAAGAAAATTAACTCAATCAATGTGTCTTCAACTACCAAAAACCTAGAAACTGTCTTGAGCAATCTCAAAAGGTTACATTTAATTTTCAACTGCACAAAATACACAATTATTTTGTGTATCATTTCAGTGATTAAAGAATCACTGAAAATATCTTTCCAAGTACAAACAAAAGCAAAGTATCAACAGAGACCCAGGATGAGGCAGAAGTGATGACTACATTATTAAGGCTCAGCTCCCCAAACTCTCACACCTCAGAAAAGGAGAAAGGATAACAGGATTAGCACCAGACTAATGCACTCTGCTCTCAGTCACAGGACTTGATTTCAGTGTCAAAAAACCCTCTGTAGAAAGTGCTCTTCGTGTGAAAACACCCTGCTAAAAAGCAAGCACTGAAACAAAGTGAGTCATTACCCTGGAACACATTCACTAGTTCCTCAGAATGAGCCCCAAGGTGTTTGGTAAGGGGACAGAGGAAGGAGGAGATGGAGACAGACCAACAAGACACACACACACACACACACACACACACACTTCTAGTCTCCGCCACATTAAAGAAACTCATTAAATGGCACAGCTTTTTTTCTGTGTGACTTTTGTTACTTTTGCTCCCATGTGGAACATCCAAAGATTTAAATACACTGTCAAGTCAGATTAATCAAAGCCACATCCTCTAGTTTAGCATAAAGAAAAAGAAGTCATAAAGGAATTCAAATTTGTTCACATCTTGTAACAGAAAAGAATAGGTGAATTCATATCTGCTATGGTTTCAATAAATCCCATCTAAAATTTAGGTGTTGCCAGTGTGATAGCATTAACAGGTGGGGTCTTCAAGAGGTGATTAGGTCCTGAGGCCTGCTCCCTTATTGCTTGGCCAGATAACATTTCTCACTCAATTAAAAGAATCTGGGAAGATCAGTCTAAGTTTATGTGGATGTTACTTAGAATGATAAAGTTTATAAACCAAGTGAATGCGCTATTCAAAATTCCAAAAGAAAAACTCTGACGGGCTCAGCTACTTCGGATTTTTTTTTTTTTTTTAATGACGCTGGGTAGCAGGCACTCAAGGAAGTCTACTTACCACAATATCCTCAGGAAATGTGTCTCTGCTGAAGGAGCCATCATCAAACATGACCTCATAGAAGGTCTGTGATGTCACAGCCATCACTCTGCAACTGTAATACCGGGTGTTCCGATGCTTTGTGATGACCGTCTGACCCACAGAAATGACCTTCTCACAAGCCTTGGATTTCTAAAAGAAGGGACACAAAAAAAAGGAAGAAAAGAAATAAGAGATAGAACAGGAAAAGAAAGGGCATAAAATAAAAAATATTCATTTGAAAAGCAATCATTCATTTGGCCAAGATATAAAACAAAATTTATAACATGATATTGAAGGATAATTTAAAACTTACAGAAAACTTGCAGGAATACAAATAAAATAAACAATACTTGTTTATACTAACACTCTTTACCCAGATTCATCCATTGGTTTTTGTGTGTGTGTGCATATACAAAGAGAGAGAGAAAGAATATGTATGTATGTGTATATATATATATATATATATATATACACACACACACACACACACACTTGTGTATGTGTATATGCATATATATCAACTTCAGGAAACTGAACACTGATAGCATACTTTAATCTCCCATCTATACTCCAGTTGGTCAACTGACCCAATAACAGCCACTATGCTTTGCTTTGTGTGCGCTCACCTCAGAGGGTTGAACCTATGTTTTGATTCAGCAGTTTAGATACACACTTTGTGTAGAGTCTGGAAAGGGACATTTGAGAATTAATGGAAGCCTAAGGTGAAAAAAAAATATCTCAAGATAAAAACGAATGGGAAGCTATTTGTGAAACTGGTTTGTGATGTGTGCATTCACCTTCCAGAGTTTCAGTTATGTTTGGATTCAGCAGTTTAGAAACACGCTTTGTGTAGAATCTAAAAACAGGCCATTATGGTATCCACCTTCCCTACCCTAAAAATCCCAAGTACAGAATCCAGTTTAGAGTCAATTATTGCATTTAGTTGCCACATCTCTTAGGCTTCTTTAATCAGGACCATTTCCTCTGTTTTTGTTTTATGGTATTTATACTTTGGAAGGATACAATTCATCCTCCTCCTGCATTTTAATAAAGCATGGGTCTTAAGTTTCCTCATGATTAGCTTCAGGTTACACACTTTTGGCCAGAATCCCGAATTAGGATGTTGACTCCTTCTCAGGATGTTTCACCTGAAGGCACACGATGTTTGCTTACCCTTCAATGGTGATGTTAATTTTGATCCTGATCAAAGTGTAGTTCAATTTCTCCACTTAATTACTATTTTTCTCTTACACTAAAGCAATCTGTGAAAGACACTTTTGTCACTATGTAAATATCCTGTTCCTCATAAACCTGTTTAGAATTAGCATCCACTGAGTTTTGTGCATAATTGTTACTGCAATGGTGGTGTATGCTGATTTTTCCTGCTCTACCACGCCATCCACATTTATTAGTTAGTTGGCAATTGGTAAGCAGGAGTCTCCCATATTTCCCTGCACCCATCCATTCATCAACCATCCATCCATCGATCCATCCATCCATCTGTCCTTCTATTCATCCATTGTCATTATGGGTTGATGAATTCCTCCTCCCCAACTGTTTATAGTTCATACTGTACTTCATTATTTTGGTGTTCAAACTGTCCCAGATTTGACCAATAAGAGCCCCTTCATACTGATTCTTGTGAAATCTTTTTTTTTTTTTTTAACAACAGTTCCTTACTATCTTTTTTTTTTTTTTTTTTTTTTTTTTTTTTTTTTTTTTTTTTTTTTTTTTTTTTTTTTTTTTTTTTTTTGAGACGGAGTTTCACTCTTGTTACCCAGGCTGGAGTGCAATGGCGCGATCTTGGCTCACCGCAACCTCCGCCTCCTGGGCTCAGGCAATTCTCCTGCCTCAGCCTCCTGAGTAGCTGGGATTACAGGCACGCGCCACCATGCCCAGCTAATTTTTTTGTATTTTTAGTAGAGATGGGGTTTCACCATGTTGACCGGGATGGTCTCGATCTCCTGACCTCGTGATCCACCCGCCTCGGCCTCCCAAAGTGCTGGGATTACAGGCTTGAGCCACCGCGCCCGGCCTAGTTCCTTACTATCTTATCTGATAAGATGTTTCAGGATCATCTTGCTCCAGCCTTGAAATTAGCCATTCCAGGAGTATGGTTTAGTTTAGAGGGCACTGACACCAGAGGCTAGGATACAGGTGCTTAGGCGTGCTCTTATTACAGGAGTATCTTTGCTTCTCAATCTTTCCAGTAAACAGAAAAATGAAATACATTCATGTAACATGTGCACATATATGTGCATAAATACACACACGCAAATATCAATTTGTCGCAAACACACATATATTGGAAATCACCATGTAACGTGCACATATGTGTGCATAAATACACACACGCAAATATCAATTTGTCACAAACACACATATATTGGAAATCACCAGTTGAGACTGATATCCTATTCATCCATGCAGGTTCTTGGTTGCCTCCCTTGATTTCATGTATGTTCATCCTTTCTCAGTGAAAATCTTGGCATCTACAATATAAACCTATTAACTCATTTACTCAATCCTTAAATATATCCAAGTAATTTTTAAGACCTGCAGGAGAGCTGTATTAATAGTTTCAGACTAGAAAAACTAACGCATATGACAGATAATTTTATTCTTAAATTAAGAATTAAGACTCCGGTTCCATTACCAGCTCATACTGCAACAGCTGGGTTGCAGTCCATTCCTAAGAATATGGGCATGACTTGTGGACTCAATCTTTATTTCATTTTTTTCCTCCCCCTCTTCTCCTTCCACACATGTTCCTGGCATCCCAAAAAACCATGTGTAGTCCTCAGGGTACATATATCAAGCTAGGGAAACACAAGACTTAAGAATAAATGCCTTTGGCCACATCAGTGGCTCACGCCTGTAATCGTGACACTTTGAGAGGTCGAGGTGGGCTGATCACAAGGTCAGGAGTTCAAGACTGGACAATGGTGAAATCCCGTCTCTACTAAAAAATTCAAAAATTAGCTGGGCATGGTGGCTTGTGCCTGTAATCCCAGCTACTTGGGAGGCTGAGGTAGGAGAACTTCTTGAACCGGACCCAGGAGGTGGAGGTTGCAGTGAGCCAAGATTGTGCCACTGCACTCCAGCCTGGGCTACAGAGCAAGACTCCAACTAAAAATAAATAAATAAATAAGTGACTTCTCAGAAATATTTTGCAGAGTGATTGGCACATATTAACTCTAGAAATGTTAGTTTGTTGTGTTTTGGGTTGTTTTTATTTTCAAGATAAGGCTATAGTCCCCATTCCCCTTTCAGGAACTCCTACAAAGCCTGTACCAACTAGGAAGAGACTGCAGTCAACATCTAACGCCAAAGTCTGCTCTGAAGATGTATATATCAGATCTTCTTTATATCAGCCTCAAAGGCTCATGCATCAACACCAATTTGTTTGATGTCATGAGCTGTGACCTGCTGGGAAGGCCCTGAACCAAGCTCAGGGGAAGGTAGAGGCCCTCATAATCCCCAAGGCACCAACATTAGCCTGGCATGTCATCTGTACCTAAAGAAAGCTGGGACTCATTAAATCTCACCCTTTTCTTGCATAAATATTTACAATACTCCGGGAAATACAGTTATCATCATCCAGAATCACAAGTCAATCAGAGGCTTTGCTTTTGTTTCCCCCATGAATATCAAAAAACCTAAAACACCTTGTAGGATACAAAGTGTTATACTTAATCTTTTTCTTCTAGAAACCAAACAAAGGCATACCCAGAGAGTCACTCATTCACTAATTTCCTCAACAGTCATCTGTAGCTAGCCAGTGGGCACCATGTCTGGTGTTGGAGAGCCAAATATAGAAACCACTAAGACTGGATTCCTGTTTCCCTGGAGCAGGCCTATATACATATGTGCCATGAAGCCATCTCACAGGTGGTGTGAGAGAAGACTGATGGCACACATTCTGGCATGCCCTCTACAACAGGACTCCTCATTCCTGAGCATGCAGCAGTCAGAATTAGGGGAGGGACACAATCAAGGACAGACAGAGTGACAGGGTGTTACATAACCCTCAGCCTCAGTGTGGTCATCTGTGGAAGAAATTACACCTAAATCACAGGTGTGCTATAAATCAGGGTGAAGCACAAAGGACATCTAGCATTATCGGTAGCAGATTCTCAGCAAATCCTAAATGGGTTCATCTAGGAAATGAAGAACATACCTGAGACCTCCACCTCAGGCTAATCAATCACTCTCCTATAGTACCTGAGTCAGCGGCATGGATGAGTGGGCGGCACCCTGACTTCACACTGACAAGGATCAGTCCAGCCCCAAATCACTGTCTGGAAAACAATCCAGACACCCACTCTTCATCTTATCCACTCCAGCAGCCTCTGACTCTCCTCTTGTCAAATTCAGGCACATGGCTATGGTCCCTAGGAAGGAAGGCATAATGTGGTCTCCTCTCCATCCCCAGGGCTCCCAAAGCCTTTGTTTACAAATCTCGTAAGACCCTGGCCACATGACTCTTTCAGTTACCGTCCCTTTTATGTCCAGGAATCAGTGCCAGGGCTTGTCTTTTCATCCACAGAACCCAGCCCGGTGTCTAACACTGTTCCTGACAGATGAACGGTGAATGAATGAATGGATGGATAAATGAGTAGATGAGTGAATGGGCACAGACAATTTTTTTTTTTTTTTGAGACAGAGTTTCACTCTTGTTGCCCAAGCTGAAGTGCAACAGCGTGAACTCAGCTCATTGCAACCTCCACCTCCTGGGTTCAAGTGATTCTTCTGCCTCTGGCTCCTGAGTAGATAGGATTACAGGTGTGTGTCACCACGCCCCGCTAATTTTGTATTTTTCATAGAGATGGGGTTTCTCCACATTGGTCAGGCTGGTCTCAAACTCCCAACCTCAAGTGATCTGCCCACCTCAGCCCCTCAAAGTGCTGAGATTATAGGCATGAGCCACCATGCACAGTCCAGATAAATTTTCAAAATGGAAAAGGAATGAATCTATCCACTCCTGTCCAGAAAACAGCAAAGAGAATCAAAGGCGCATTGTAGAGGATATCCCTATTCATCCCTACAGGTTCTGTTTCCTTGGTTTCTCTTTCTTTGTCTGGGTGAGCATGTATGTGGGTAGGGGAAGGGAATAAAGAAAGTTTAGGGTGGCATTCAGTGTCTGGAAA